CACGGTAGACACTTGTGCCGCGTGCGCACTGCAGAACTGGACAGGAAAGATCGCTGGATCGTCGACGCCGTCGTCCATTCAATCGTCGTCGTCGAAGCCGTCGTTGTCATCGTAAGCATGGTCGCGCCGTCGTCGGCGTCGTCGCCGCCGTCATCGTCTGAGAAGTCGCCGTCGCATGTGTCGCTGAAGTCGATTACGTGCAGGACTCGAGGAGGACCGCCTTCTGTCTGGGCTCCCATCGCCTTCTCTCCCTCCTCCTGTTCCTCCTCGTGGGCTCCCTCCACAAGATAGGTGTAGGAAAATAAAAGAAGAGACCGGAGAAAGAATACACAGGGGATATGCGCGAGGGTACGCGGAGACACGCCTGAAGCGCACCACGGTCGGCATGCTTCGCTAGAGTAGTAGTGGTGGTAGTAGTAGCGGTAGCTGTATTGTAGTAGTAGTACGAATATTAGTAGTAGGAGTAGGAGTAGTAGTAGTTCTAGTAGTAGTAGTATTAGTTTGTGCGGTAGTAGGAGGAGTCGCAGTATGAGTAGTAGTAATAGTCGTAGTCATAGTCGTAGGAGCAGGTATAGGTGTAGCAGATGGAATGGTGACATGAGGAGGTCGAGGTGTCGTAGTAGTAGCTCTAGATATAGTTGAAGTAGGAATCGTCGTAGTACCAGTAGCAATACCAGTCGTAGTACTCGTAGAAGTAGTCGTAGTAGTCGTAGTAGTAGCAGTAGTAGTACGAGTGGTGGTAGTGGTAGTAGGAGAAGCAGTACGAGGAATACCACTAGCAGTAGCAGTAGCAGTAGCAGTAGCAGTAGCAGTCGTTCGGGATAATCGTGGTGTGAGTCGTTCGGGCCCCTCGTCCTGGTGTGAGTCGTTCTAGCAGTAGCAGTACCAGTAGCAGTAGCAGTAGCAGTCGTTTGGGCTAATCGTGGTGTGAGTCGTTCGGGCCCCTCGTCCTGGTGTGAGTCGTTCGGGCTCCTCGTGGGGCCTCTTGGGGGACTCTTGGAGCCCCTTGGGGCCTCTTGGGAGCCTCTTGGGGGCCTCTGGGGGGCCTCTGGGGGGCCTCTGGGGGCCTCTTGGGGCCTCTTGGGGGCCTCTTGGGGGCCTCTTGGGGGCCTCTTGGGACCGCTGGGGCGCCTCTGGTGGGCCTTTAGGACGCTTCTTGGGAGCCTCCTGGGAGCCTCTGGAGGCCATCTTGGGGCCTCTTGCGGCCTCCTCGGAAGCGCCAGTGAGAGCTGCCTCCTGAAAAGAACAAAATGAGCCCAAAACCTTCGTACAAACAATGATTTTGCTATGAAGGAAGATGAACGCGGCCCCCTCAGAGCGCCAACATGAGGCCAACACCGTAGTAAAATCAATGATTTTGGCTTTAAAGAAGAGCAGAGGGGCCAAAGTGCCCCCCCCCGTCGGGGCCAGAATCCTCGTGAGGGTTGTCGTTTTTTGGCCCTTTCCAGGAGTCAAAAAAGACCGCCCTGACGACGCTCGGCCCGCCCTCTCCAGGTCCAGGGGGAGGGGGTAGGGAGAGGGGTAAACCCCTCCCCGAAGGGGAAGAAAGGGGGGTTGGGGGGTTGAGGACAGAGAAAGCTCGCTAAACCACTCACGCCCAAAGGGCTGGTGGGATTGTCGGGCGGAGTGGCGTCTTACATGGGCAGCGCGTGGGATGATGGCGGCGCGGTCCGCGATCAAAGGCGGGTGTGTGCAGTTTAGCTGGATCATGATATGCCAGTCCCCATTCTTCCCGTTGGGAGGCGGTCAGCAGTGATTCGATCGTGTCGCTGGGTGTTCACATATGCGGCAACATCACCTCTGGAGCCTTCGTCGAACACTAGGTCGATTGTGTGAGTGCCACATCAGCACAATCTTGACTCTCCGCGTGCTCCAGCCACCCCATCCAGATTCGAAATCATCAGCACATAATTCGACACACCAGGCCACGCTGGTAACCATGGCGGCACCCTGGGAGCTTCTCGGATGTCCCTTTGTGCCAAGGTGGAGCTCTATGGGGCCCCGTTATTTGGGCCCTGGAGGCGCCCTGTAGGCGATATAGGGGCCCTAGTTGGCCCTCTCGGGGGAGGGGTTGTTGTGTACACGTTTGGGGCCATCGCTGTAGCTTGGGAGATCACAAGTCGAGCCCCATTCGGATTCCAAAGGATGTCCAGCTACTAAGGGCATCAGGCATGTGGACATTCTCGGGCTGGGCCATTTTAGGCGCCCAGAGTTCTGGTCCCGCCCCTGCCTCTAAACCCATGAGGGGGGGCATGAGTGGCCCCCTTCCCGAAGCGGGGCCATGGGATGGTAACGGCGAAATCGCGAAACCACTTGCACGCACAAGGTGCGTGGGGCGCTATCTTCGGGCGCGCGTGCGGCGCCCTTTCGGGTTCGACCGCACCCGAGTTTCACCAGAGCGCGCTCTGTCTTGTTCTGCCTGTATGGGGTTGCGCATGCTCGCGCGGCTGCGTCGCCCGCGCGGCCTACACCTGCTCGGATCGGATGGGCCTTGTGCTCTCGACGGTCTCCAGACTTGTGGCGCGGGCGGGCGTCGACCGTGGCATCTGCGGCTGCGCGCGCCTCGCTTTCGCCGTGCGCGGAGCCTCGGGGCTCGCTCCTGCAGGCCCGACTCGGCCAGCAACCGGCAAGCGCAGGCAATCGCCCCGAGCAGCGCGGCAGCATCAGCGCGTGGAGGTCGGGCCAACCCATCGCGGCCTCCCAGGGCGCTGCGGTTCGGCGCTGCACGCTGCGTGGTTTTGAAGTTTGCGCCCGCGCGGCCGGGTCGGCGCGGCGCTCGCGCGCGCGATCCAGACTTCGGCGCGCTAGCCCTGCGGCGGCCGTTGCGACGCTAGGTCGGTGGCTGGCGTGCCCAGGCGGGCCACGGCCCAACGGTCAGCTTTTCGGTGGATGGCCCCCCCTAGTCCCCGCGATAGTGCGCGGCGCTTTCGCGACGGGCGTCGTCAGACTTTGGCGCGGCCGCCCGCGGGTCTGCTCAAGCGGCGCGCTGCGAACGCGCTTGGCTTGCGAATGCGCGCTGCGCCTCTTCGTCGCCATTGGGGCTTGTATTGCGCCCCGCCGATGCTCAGCTCTGGAGCGATGCGCCTGGAGTGGGGGGGGGGCTCGTGCCCTTTTCTCCGTCGGCCAGCGCAGGTTCGGGGCGAACCCCAACGGGCGCGCGCGCCGTGTGTATGCATGGACGAAGGGGCGGTTGCGTCCCTGCGCGCGACTGCACGCCATCTCTGTTTCCTTCGCCCGCGCGCAGGTCGCGAGGGTCCCAGATTCATGTTCTTTCAGAGGGGTAAGATGCTTTCGTGCGAGCGTTCGCAATACGCCGCTATGGACATGTATGCCGACATCTTGTCGCTAAGCATGGATGTTGGGTCTGCAAGGCCCGCCAACAATGCAATCTCATAAGTATGATAACCACCGCAGCGTCGCTCAACTTTGGAGCGCCCAGCAGTCTTATACATTTCTTATGCACGGCTGTTGCCATAATGTTGTGAAACAGCAAGCTTCTCGATAGGTTTCCCAATGTGAAACAACACGTTTCTCGCTTGCGCACCTGGTGAAACAACAAGTTTCTCGGTAGTTTTTCCAAGGCAGAGCTTGCGAGGATGAGGAATAGGTGGGGAACAGGGGGGATTATGCGGTCTATTAAATTCCGCATGGTGGTGACCATGGTCATGCTGACGATGATGATGATCATGATGTTGTTGATGATGATGATGATGGTGGTGATGGTGGTCATGATGATGATGATGATGACGGGTGTGATGATGCTGCTGCTGATGGTGATGATGATGGTCATGATGATGCAGGTTGTGATGATGATGTTGCTGACGATGATGGTGATGCTGATACTGTTGATGTTGATGTTGACGATGATAATGATGATGCTGAGGATGCTGCTGCTGGCGATGGTGCTGTTGCTGATGATGCTGATTATGATGATGATGAGGATGATGATGATGATGATGCTGATGCTGCTAATGATGATGTCGACGACGACTGCGACCACGACGACGTTGCTGATTATGTTGATGCTGATGATGCGGATGATGATCGTTCTGATGATACGGATGCTGGTTACGATGATGCCGACGACGACGATTATGATGATCATGAGATGAGGTGATGATGAACATGATGATGCTGGTGATGATGTTGATGATGCTGATGCTGATGATGATAATGATGATGGTGATGATGATGTTGATGATGATAATGCTGCTGATGATGATGATGGTGTCGATGATGATGATGCTGATGATGATGATGATGATGATGATGCTGATGCTGCTTATCATGATGGTGATAGTACTGGTGATGATGCTGCTGATAATGATGATGCTGTTGCTGATGATGATGCTGATGATGCTGCTGCTGATAATGACGATGATGGCTGTGATAATTGTAATGATGCTTATTATGATGATGACGATGATGATGCTGATTGGGATGATGCTGATGATGCTGATGATGATGATGATGATGGTGGTGGTGATGATGCTGATGATGTTGATGATGCTGATGATGATGATGATGATGATGACGATGATGATGATGATGATGATGATGATGATGATGATGATGATGATGATGATGCTGATGCTGCTGATGAGCAGGAGGGAGCCCGATGAGAACCGATCAGTATGAGGAGGGGGGCTGGGGGGGCCAGGATGCAGAGGCGACAGTTGGAGGGCTCGGACAGGGTGTGATGAGATGGCAGTGAGATTGGAGGCGGGGCGGAGAGGACAGGCACTAGCGCTCTTTCACAGGGCGCAGCCTTCCTTCGCGGGACTCTTAGGAGCACCCTGCCGAACTGTCGCTTTCCCCACCCTATATTTCCTCGTCCCTGTCGTCTTCAATGCTTTTCCTTATCCTTGCTATCAGTACTCCTATACCCCTGGTGCTCTCCCCCCGGTTCTCCTCCTGCTCATCCCCATCGTCCTCCTCATGATGTGCCCCCCTCCCCCTCTCCGTGCTGCTGCTCACCCTTGCCTCTCCCCACTGCTCAGGAACGCCTTGCCAAGCTGGAGCTCTCCCTGAAGCAGAAGTTCGACGGGGTCTCCGAGGTTCTGGCCGCGAGCGTGTCGTCTCTCCAGGCCGAGGCTCTGGGCGATGGGCCCTGGGGGGTGGGATTCTACGGTAGGCGTAAGACAAAAAAATGTTCCAGGAAATGCCCGCAGGTGCCACTCGGAAATGTTCCATCCCGCGATGGCCCAGCTCTGGGGCCAGGAGGAGGAGGAGGAGGAGGAGGAGGAGGAGGAGGAGGACGACGACGGCGACGACTGGCGACTGGCGACTGGCGACGGACGACGACTCGCATCGGACGATGACTGGCGACGGGCGACGACGACGCCGGCGCCGGCGGCGGCGGCGGCCCGCGCAGGCCGCCGCCGACCGCGGGGCCGCCGCGGCCGCGGCGGCCCAGTGCCGGGAGGAGTGCGGCAGCCGGCTGGATGCGGAGTGTGCGGCGTTGCGGGCGGAGGCGCTGCGGCCCAGCGTCGTCGTTGACGTCGTCCCTGTCGTCGTCGTCCCTGTCGTCGTCACTAGTGGAGGCGGAGAAGGCGGAGGAGGAGGCGGAGGAGGAGGAGGAGGAGGCGGATGATGATGATGATGATGATGATGATGATGATGATGATGATGATGATGATGATGATGATGATGATGATGATGATGATGCTGATTGTGTTTGGTATGCTGGTGCTCATGATGATGCTGATGATGATGCTGATGATGACGATGACGATGACGATGACGATGACGATGGAGGTGGTGGTGGTGGTGATGGTGATGGTGGTGATTATGATGGTGGTGATGATGATGACGAGGATGATGATGATGATGATGATGATGATGATGATGATGATGATGATGATGATGATGATGATGATGATGATGATGATGATGATGATAATGAGGATGAGGATGAGGATGAGGATGAGGATGAGGATGATGATGATGATGATGATGATGATGATGATGATGATGATGATGATGATGATGCTGATGCTGATGCTGATGCTGATGCTGATGCTGATGATGATTATGATGATGATGCTGGTAATAATGATGTGGATGATCCCCGCGTCTGAAGGGAACAGGAGATCCCTGCTTATACTGCCCCTTGGACCGAGGCGTTTCCGTTTGGCCCTGCGGAAGCAACGCTCGGTCTCGTGCGCCTCAGCGCACACACGCAGATTCATTCGAGTGTCAAGAGCAGCCAGCCACCTCAGCAAAAGCAAGCGGGTGATGGATCCGAGCAGGCGAAGCGACTCAGCCCGCTCGGCAACAGGCACAGGCCCCAGCTGCACGACCTAGCGGGCTGGTACGCATTTTAGCTGCACACCGCACTCGAGAAGCAGCCCGTCCAAGGCCAAGGCGCCTTGCACAGATGTCCCTCGGGCCAGCGGAGAAGATTCAGAGCGTGGGAGGCCTACGAGCACGGTTCGCCCTCCGCCTCGAATAGACGGGCGGGCCGCGCCGACGCAGAGCGACAGCAACTACATTGAGGCGGCACGGCGCGCGAAGCGCGCATTCATCAATTCAACGAGTGGTGGTATGGATCGGCGCTTGGCGCCAGACGGATTGGCGCTCGCCTCCGAGGCAAACCCTCCGTGGCGAGAGGAGCAGCGCGCAGCGAGCAAGGCCGTGCATACTGCAGCGGGTCGACACCTGACTATCCCCAACAGCACCTGGCAACACAGGGATCGGTTGCTCTGCCGCTGGCCTCGGAGCCGGATCCCGTGTGTGAGCGAACTGACACGCCTGGTTCCATCCCCGCCCAGAGCGCCCGTGGCGCGAAAGGCCTGAGCAGATCGGGCCAATCAGGCGGGCAGGCAGATGCGCCTCGCCGACCGCTTCGCAACGCGTCCTATAGGCTCGAGGCCCCGCTGGACTGGTTGCATAGCCGTAGGCATCGGAGCCCGATCCCGAGTGTCGGCGAACCTACACCCCTGGTTCATATTCCGCTCATAGCGAGCTGTGCGGAGGCCAACAGCGTGCACCGAGCTAAGTCATGCATGCTGCGTTCGACCTACTTGGCCATCAGCAGCGCAACACGTCCTTTAGGCTCCTGGCCGAACGCGGGACTAGCTGCATTGCCGAGGGCATCGGGCCCGAACCTGTGCATGTGCGAACCTACGCACTTGGTTCCTGGTCCGCAGAAGCAGTGCGTGGGAACGGCCTAACCGTCCACGCGTCTGCGCAGGCGCCGAAGAGGTTCAGGGTCATGAGTGCTTCCCCCCCCCGCTGGCTGAAGTCCCCACTTCAGGTTCCCAAGCACCGCCTGCTTCCTGTCGTTCTTGGGGGCACGTGGGCGCGGCTTCGCGAGCCCCGCCATCCTGACATTCAGCGTCCAGTAGCCGCACTTGATGCAGAAGAGGTGGCTGGCCGCCTTCCACAGTTCGTGGAATTCTTGGCTGTCGATCCCCCATCATGGTGGCAACTCGGGAGGCGGCGGCGGGGTAGTCTGCGCAGCAGGCTGCTGCTGCTGTGCCGTTGCCTCCCTCTGGGCGTCGCCGCTTGCGCGCCCTCCGCTGTTGTCAGCCACTCCATTGCCCGCTGGCCCGCCGCCGCCATCGTGCCCTTGGCCTCTAGCACCTGGCTCGTCGCCATGTGAGCCGCTGGCCTGGCTGGAGAGCAGCGCGGCGCCCGCCGTGAGGAGCGCCGCCGCCGCTGAGACCGTTCCTGGGCCCCTCTCCCCGCCAGCGGTGCATGAGTCCAAGATGGCCTCGCCGCGCCCCGCGCATTCCAGGCACGCCCGTGTGGCGTCTCCGTCGATGTTCAGCCACGTGCCGCGGCGGTCACATGTCCTCCCCGAGCAATCAAGGAACGCGCAGTGGCTCCGCATGCGCAGCTTGCAGCTCCGCCAGTCACAGCGGGCCTGATTGCGGCCTGGCCCCTCATGTCCGCCCTCGGCCGTCAGCTCGGCGTCGCCCTCCTGCACGGCAGCGCCCAACCAACATAGCACCTTCCTGACGAGGCGATCCTGGCGGGCACCCCTCTCGCGGACGGCGTCGTCGACCACGTGCATGCGGCCCCCTTCGCTGGCGCGCGCATCTGCGCGGTGGTTGCCGAGGCGCTGCCAGTCAGTGATGCGCTCGGCCTGGACATCCGCCAGCGTCGCGTGCGCCTTCACCTTGTGGAAGGAGATGTTGTCGCGGCCCACGTCGTCGGTGCCCGCCCATAGGTGCACTCAGAGCTCCCTGTGCGGCCGCTGCCGCTGAAGGCACCAAGCTTTGTCCGCCTCGATCCCGCCCGCGAGCAGCTTGCAGTCTCTGCAGAGCCTGATGGGCGGCAGGCTGTTCTGGGTGCCCTCGATGGCCGCGTAGATCCCCGCCGCGCTCGACTCCTGAGGATGGGGCCAGGGCAGCTGCCTGACTAGGCTGATGTCCTTCCTGTCCTGGCCCATGACCACCACTGCCCAGCCGCCTCTGGCTGAAACCAGGCTTGGGTCTTCCACGCTGCCATCGGAGAAGAGGTCGCCAGTGAGTGGCGGCCCCGCCAGGTCGGCTCGCCCCTCCTGACGAGCGGTCCGATCCTCGGTGGGCAGAGGTAGCGCCCTCCTGAACTCAGTGGCGAGCGCGCGTGACCACAGCGGGTCCTCCTCGTAGTTGAGGCTGGCCATGTCGACGATCGTCCTGAAGTGGGTATCGTCGGGCGGGCGCCTCTCGTCTCCGTCATCGTGGGCTGCCATTTCCGGGTGGCCCAAGGCCGTCGCGGGGCATTGCCGCGCCAAGTGCCTCACCGTGCCGTGGCCGTTGCAGCCTATGGGGCGCTGCGGGGAAGGTTCCAGAGGTCGGTCAGATCCGAATCGTCTCGCGACGGGCCACAGGCATCCGACCAGCCCGTTCTTGGCCCAGCTCAGCTGCTTCGCCTTCTGCTTGCTCATGCGTTTGCGATGGATAGTGCGCCTGGTGCTGGACAGCGCGCCTCTCTCCGCCAAGTGCCCGAGGCCTGGCTGCTTGCCCACTTCTCGCCAGAACGCTCGCTCATGGCCAGCGGCAATGTGCTTGGCCACGGTGGATGCGCCCAGAGTCCGCAGGTCCATCTCGCGCTGCTGGTCGTTGATGGGCAAACCTGGCCGCGCCGCTGTCCAGCCCGGGCGGCGGCAAGCCAAAACGCATGCTGATGCTGGGCCCCTGCCGGCGAGCGCCTCAGGCCCCTTCTCCACCGACGTCTCGATGGCCCCCGCGAATGCGCTGCCCATGGCCCTCAGGTCCGTGCCGTCTGAGTTGAACTGCGCCGCCTTGGCCCACGCGATGGTGGGCAGCGTGGCACAGTCCAGGGATGGGTCGCTCGAGAGCCTGTTGCTGCGCAGGAAGCTGAGGCTGAGGCTGCTGCCGGGGCCTTGTACATGGTGCGCAGCATTTACTTGCCTCCCCCACTTGACCATCTGCTGCGTCGGCCAGCCTACCACGCTGTGCCCGCGCCGCGTTGAGGGTCGTGGTCCAGCGTTGGCCACCCGCGCCGCCGCAGGGGTCTCCTGCGAGCGAATGGTACGCAGCCGCTGGGGCTGGGATGCCGCCTTCGTGTAGAGCGCCTCGAGGACGACGCAGGCCTGGCCGTCGAGACAGTAGTCCACGCTCAGGTTCTTGACGGCGTCGGCAACTGGGAAGGCCATGCCACCATCTGCTTGGCCATCAAGGACGCGAGATCAGGCGAGCTTGCGAGTAGCTCGCTCTTGGCCTCCGAGACCTCGCAACCCGAGGCCTGCAGCTGCGCGACCGCGGCTTTGGTCGCCCGCGCCGCGGAAGCTGCGACCTGCGCCATCTGGCCATGCCAGCCCGCGCAACAGTCGTCGAACGTGATCGCGAGCGAAACTCTGGGCTTCAGCACCCGCCACATCCGAGCGTGCTCGTCTGCTAGTACCAAAAGGCCACATTACAGCTGCCGCCCTGCGTGCGCGCAGCCTGCGATGAGGCTCGTGTCCAGAAGGCAGGCGTCGGAGACGCTGCCGTCGAGCGTGAACCTCCACTCGCCCGCGTAGATGGCGAGCGCCATGCCCGGCAGGCCCCGCGGGTACTCGGCGAGGACGCTGCGCTCCTGGACGATCGCGAGGTCTACCAGCCCGCGCGCCTGCCATAGGTCCACGAGCGCCGCAGCTGCGCTCTCCCCCCCCTGGCGCGCGAAAGCCTCCGAACGTAAGGCTCGCCGCTGCGCAGCTTCCGCGGCCGCGCGCCCTCGTCCGCCCCGGAATGCGCCTGCGAGACTTGGGTCGATCTCGGGACCACGCCGCCGCGCACCAGGCTGGCGTGGTCGGCCCCAGAGGCGGGGCAGCCATCCGAGCAGCCTGCTGGGGCGGACGCCGCCCTGGGGCTTGGGAACCGTGACAACTGGCGAATCTGTGATCACGTCTGGCCTGCCGCCCAGCTCCTCGCTCGCCATGCAGGAGTCGGCGGCGGCCCCCGGGATGTCGCCGCTCGTGTCCGCTGCCTTCCGAGGGCTGGGGCGGTCACTACCTGCCCCAGTACTGCGGCGGAGTGT